GGGGGGGGGGGGGGGAATTGGTGGGACGTGAGAGGAGCACAATTGGGTGGAGGCGGAGAGGCGGCAAAAAGAGAGGCAAAGGCGGAAGAAGGCGGGGCAACAAGCAGGTGGAAAGAGAGGGAGGAAAGTCAGTGTCTTTGTCCGCATTCAACCCAAGCTTTCTACGGCGAAGAGGTGCATGCAGACCGAGCCGGTCGGTGGATGGCTAGAACTCATGAACCCGTGACACGCATGCAATGCAAGCCGGCTGATTTGGTCCCACCCGAGACCGCCCTGGCCTGCCTCCGATGGTGCACGACGCCGACGATCTGTAAGCCAGGCTGACGATGAGCATGCATGGCGACGATGGCGGCGACGGCGACAACGATAACGACGACGTGGGCACCCAGTAGCGACGGCCGGACAGAAGGGGCGCGGGACCGTGAAAGCATGGACCATGACGCAGAGGCCACCCTGGCTCCCTCCAATTGCATTGAAGGCCCATGCCGAACTGCGGCGCCCCCCGGCCATCACCTGATCGCCCGACGCAGACAGCCGTGCATGACACACACGAGCAGCATCATTCAAGCGCTTCGGCGAGGCCTACAAAGGCTGCGGGTCTTGGCAGGGGCAGCGGCGACAGCGGCGACAGCGGCAGGGGAACCAGGAGCAGGCTGGCAGGGCAAGGGCAGAGGCAGCGGCAGGCAGCGGCTAGGCAGAAGCCGAATGAGACCAGAGCCATCGGAGGGAGGGAACGGGCGCGTTTGGCCTGTGAATCCGGGCCTGGCGGAGAGCGAGTGGAAAAATCCAACTCCAAGCCGAGCGGGGCAGATCGGAAATGGTCGCAGCGCATCGCACTAACAGCGCCTCGATCGCGCGGCCGCTGGGAAAATTGGGAAATAATGAAAAAATCCAATTTTGCCAGTGCTGGGCGAGCGAGCGAGGCTGCATTGCCAATCGACCCCGGGCTCAAGCGAGGCAGCAACTGGCGGTTCTACCCCACATTGCGGATCTCTCCGTGGCAGCCGGCGTGGAGCTGCACAGTCGAAGCCGTCATAGCCGCGAGTCCAACAAGGACGAACGACATATGGTGTCCATGCATGGCGGCTCGCAGCATTGACGACCTCTGACCTGTGCACGGCGAGCACCAGCCAAGACCACCCGCATCGTCGGCATCACCGCCAAAGTCACGTCTGGCACGAGCACGAGCACGAGCATGAACAACGAGCAGAAGATATGAGACTTACCTAGAGGAAATGTCCTGATGTTGTGTGGAAGCGGGTCACGACAAGAGTGGTGGTGGTAGAAGCAAGGCCAAGCTGGGAAGCGAGAAGCGATGCAAAGGAGGAGATGAACGCAAAGCGAAGGAAGGATGGTGAGGAAGGAGGAACAGGTGATGGGCGGTTTGGGTCGTATATATGTCTTTGCAACACTTGTGTCTTTCGAGCTTGCGGGCTGCGATGGTGAAGCGGCGGCCGGAGCATCACGGACCAGCGCTGAAGCTAGACGATCCGAGCGGGATTGAGTGCCTCGAAGCAACAGGGGCTGACGGAGGTCGCTCCGTCTCCGCAAGCCCTTTCCGCTTCGGATCGTCTGCATGCAGCCCGCGTCCACAACCCAGCCCTCCCCTCGGACTTGCATGAACATCTTCAGATGCCCTGCCCGCTTTCGAGTCTCAACCACGCTCGCTCAAGAGCCTGGTTGCCTTTGCACAGCATTTTATTAATACCGCCGTTGAGGTGCACTAGCTCGTCTCTGTGCCGGCAAAGCCCGCGTGTCAAACAGACGCTAGATTCACACAAAGCCTAGTCGGAGGCAGGCTCGAGAGCAAAGTCCAGTCGGCGTGGGTCCGAGGGTGTGACGCATGCGAGGTCGAGAGGGTTTGGCCTCCACCCACGCCGGCGCTACGCCGAATTTCGCGCTCGGGTGTTTGCGGATCCGGATCCACCCGACCCCTCCTTCGGCGGCTTGGAAAACGGCAGCCTCGTATTCGTTCTTCCCTTCCCCGCGCTCCCCCGCAAACTCGACCGTGAGCCAAGCGACCATGTCACATTCGAATCCAATCAACGACCTAGAGGAGAACAAAGCTTTGCTGCTGCGCTTTCCGCTTGCTTGCACAAGTGCAAAAATGGACAAAGGACAAAAGGACTTCGGAAAGCTGTGTGTGATGATTCGCTTTCGAAAGTCCGGGCTAGACTGCAGATCCCGAAATGCAGATGCCGGATGGTGTGCACTTTCAACTGCCCTGGCCAAGGTGAGGTGCGTCCCAGTGTCGCCGCTTCGCTGGTGTTGCTTGTGGCTCGGCTCCTGGCTGCTCCGATCGAGGGTTGCAGCCGGGCCTCGCCCGCGTGCAATCTGCCTGCCAAGCCGGGTGCCTGGTCATCCAAGATCGGCGGCAGCTCATGCGACCCAGACTGGTTGCCGCTCGTTTAGAATTCAAGTCGAATATTGTCGCGGTGTAACAAATTTGGAAGTTTGAGGCTGGATCAGCATGACTAACCAGTCTCCACGTCGGCGCGGCCGCTTGGACCAGTTGAGAAGAACATACGGCCATGCAGGGACCTACGCTTTGCACCTCGACGCCCAACCACTCGCATCGATTGCAAACGGCATCACCAATAGCCATGAGCAAAGGATCATATACAGGGCCATTGGCCGTAAGTACACGCCAGCACGCAAATCTCTTCGAATCAAAAGGACAAGTCTGACGTTCGCTTGGATGCATCCCTTGCCGCCTGTAATGCACACCTTTAATGATACGATGTGCCAACAGGAGCTGCACGCCAACTCGCCCGCATTCAAGCCGCTCATCCCGACCGCGCTCCTGCCATACATCGCGTTTGTCTCGCTCTTCTCGCTCTTCCTCTCGGCGTTCTACTTTACAACGTAAGTCCCGTTCCCACTTTCATCACCAAGCATGGAGTGACGCTGACGGCTCTTGTTTGCAACGTTGCTGCAGACTACCAAAGAGGGGACTGAGTGTCAAGGAGGTCGTCGTCGGCATCGCCGCAAGTCTGCAGGCAGGCTTGGGTGTCGTCGCCCTGTTCAACGCCGTCGGCGTGTACGTGTGACCACTCGAGTCGAAGCTGAAACAAGCCATGCAATATATCCTCGTCGTGCAGTGCACGCTCTTCTCACCTTGCCGGAGCTCGTGTGAATGTAAAAGTGGAAGCCCGTGTCTCCGAGCTGGTTCAGATGGTCCTGTGTCGGTTCGCATCATTGAGATGGCCTGGGTTAACCGGACCTTGATTCGACCCTGCGTCTGCTGGTGCGAGTCTGGTTGGCCATGGCTGCGGTTGCTTGAGCCATGCTTGATTGCATGTCCCAGCACGGTTGGTATTGCGAGCATGAGCAAAAGATCAAAGGTCGAGCCTCGGGAACATGTGCATTTTGAAGCCCCAATTTGTGGCGTCGATGGCAGAGAGCGCTTTGAAGTGGTGTGGAAATACTGCGCACAGGCTCTCGCCGTGCCTAGAGCTGCATTCGGGCGTCGCGGCGCGCCAAAACGGGAAACACCAACTCTTTCGCGAACAGCGGGCGGATTTGTGGAGCAGCCATCAGGACCCGCGGCCATCCACCCAACCTCGACGACGACAATCGGCACTTGCTTGTGCAATACCCGCCACTCAGCACCACACTCGTTTCTGCGCCTTGTCAACGCCTTTTGGACATTTGGGGCATTCACACCCTTGCGGTTTTCAGTTGACGACTATCGGCCACGTCGCAGCCGTGGCTTCATCTACGCGCATCACACGGCAACCTTGACATCCCGCGCGGGTTGCATTCAGCTGCACGAGCGATCGCAGCACTAGGCTGCCAACAGCGCGGTCGAGGGGCTGCTGATTGGGAATCACTCCACGCTGTCGGACGAGCCGGAGAGGGCGAGGATAAGCTTCGGAGATGCCTGCGGTGCGCACAACGCCTCGCGACGTGTTGATACGCGTGCCCAAGGTGGAACCTTATTCCAACAGCTACCTTCCGCCATCCATCCGCGCCAAAGAGGAGGCGAAGAAGACCGCAGCAGCAGCAACAACAACAACAACAACAACAACAACAACAACAACAACAACAACAACAACAACAAC